TGACTGGCTTGGTTCATTCACTGACAGATTGGTTTGATTTCTTGGTTGATTGGTTTCTCAAACCCAGACCTTCCAGCCGTATATCGGACAGTATTGTGCTGTGACCCACAAACTACACTGACTCATTTCTACAAGGAGCTAGCTGTCTGAATCTGGAAGCTCCATTTGAGGTGTTTGTTAGAGAAACCCACCATCTGTTACCAAATTCTATCTTGGTGACACTGCGCTGCCATAACGGAAATTCCACCATGGGTAGCAGTAAAGAAAATAAATTCACTTTCTCACAATTCTGTCGGCAAAATCCCAAACCAGGGTCTCGCCTGTGCTGATTTCCCCTAAAAGCATGGGCCTCACTACTAGTTCCAGTGACTACCGGCTCCCCTTGGATCAGCGCTTTAGGATCAGGACAAGACTGTTAAACAAAAAGTTGGCAACTCAAACCCACAAGACACTCCTCAGAAACCCTATACAGGGTCACTATGCGCCAGAACCAACTCAACAGCACTTAACAACAACTCCAGGCGAGTCTGGCATCTCTGTGCTTGTAGACAGCACTCACATGACATCTGTCTGCTCTGTGTTTGTCTTTGCTGGACATATTCTATACTGGTACGGCCTCATTAACATGGCCTCATTCGAAATAAGTGTAAGAACCAGGACTTGAATACACAAGACTCAAAGCTACCCAGAATACTGATTTGGGGAAAGTGGTTAACCACCTATCACGGGGCCTCCGCACTCCCACCTCGTCTCAAGCCTGCAACAGTCCTGATATGAATGTTGGGAACTAAGCATTCCTCTTTCCAGCTTCTCCTTCTTCCCATTCGGGGAAATACCCTTACTGTTCTGGGTACACAGTAAACTTTCCTTGTCCTGCTTGCTGCCAAGTGTGTGTGTTTATATGGGTCCTGAGCAATGCCATTTCTATATCTGTTCCCAGCATGCAGAGAACAGTCAGGGAGTGAGCCGCTGGCTAAGGGGAACCAGTGCCCACTACTGAGGCAGAGCTTCTTAACATGACTGTCCCACCCAAGGCCTGCAAATAGGTTGTATCTTTCTTGGCAACTTAGATCTCACTTCAACGCTTTGGTACAGTGAGCAAGGTTGACCATACCCTAATCCTAAACCTGACCCTAACCTAATTCTTAAGTTTTAATTCAAACCCCTATCCCATAACCCCTAAAGCGGAATCCAGGACCCCTAAAGCTGAACCCAAATGCTGAACCTAAATCGGAACCAAGACCCTAAACCTGAACTTAAGCCTGAATCAGAAACCTAAGCCTGTTCCAGACCCAAACTCCAAACCCTAAGACCTAACTGTAAGGCTGAACCAGAACCCAACTCTGAAACCATAAAGAGAGATGAAGTTCTGATCCACACTACAACATGGATGAACCTAGAAATCATTGTGATAACTGAAAGACAACATACACAGACGACCACATTTTATGTAACTCTGTTTATTTAAAACACCCACAATAAACACATCCACAGAGACAAAAATTAGATCCACAATTACCAGGGGCTAGGGACAGGGAGAAATGAGTTACTAACATGTTTTAAAGGTAGATAGAGGTGGTGTTTACATAACATTGGCAATCACTGTAAATGGTTAATCTTATGTGATTTTTGCCTCAATTAAAAACAAACAGAAAGCAAGAACCAAATCTTTGCACACCTTCAGCTGGTGATGTCCAACATCCTTCACTGTCCAGCCAAAGTCTGGACACACAGCCACACTCTTCACACCTCAGCCACCAGCTGTTCTGTAACCATGGCCCTCCAGCCCCTTGCTGGACTATAACCCTGTCTTGGCACAAGTTTCAGAGCGTCATCCCAGCTCATTCAGGGCAATCTAGCATTCTCTGAATGCCACCTGCAAAGTGCCGTCACCCTGAGTGGAGGCTAGAGCTCAGGATGCCAGGGTCCAACTTCCAGACACAGTCTCCAAATGGGACAGTCGGGGGAGTTTGTGGTCAGACAAAGAACGTGCATCCCCACCACACAAGAGGCGTGTCCCCGCTGTATCCGAGCTGCAGGTGGTCACAAAGCTGCTGTTATAAATACACCATCCTGGGGCTACCCCGTGGGCTCCAGGAAGTGGATTCATCGCTAATACTTTTAGATTTGGTCAGCACACTTCCGCCCACACCCCTGCCTGCCTCAGACACACTCGGGGGGCCTGTCCCACCTCCACTGAACCCCAGGGCTTCACATGCACACAAGGGTGCTGCCCATTAGGAATAAAGGATTGCAAGTGCTCCTTCCAACTGGGACCGAGAGCATTCCAGTTCAAACCTTCCACTCCCCAGACCCCAGTTCCTCCCTGGGAGGAGAAGCAGCCCCCAGTCCCTAGCCCAGCAGCCAGCCCTCCTGAGCCCTGAAGGGACCATGTGCCCCTAGAGGCTGGGGCACCTTCTGCTCCATCTACTGTCTCTGCTTGTTGCTGGGCATGAGCACTCTGGCCCCAATTTTTGACCTTGTGGAGCCAGGGAAGGATGAGGGCCGGGAGCAGGGGGGGTGGGGGACAGGGGCCTCCTGAAGCCTGTCACCAGCATCCTATTCTGCTGACACCCAAAGATCCCACCCCTGCACACCTCCTGAGGACCCCTCCCCCCAGCCCCTCCTTCCAGTCTTGCAGCCTTCTGCAGTATGGGGCAGCCACTGTGTCCTCTAATCTCAGGAAGGTGCAAGGGATGAGGCATCAGCTGGTTAGGATAACCCACCTGTGGTAACTGGTGGGGGCATCAAGGCTAGGAGACGGCTGTGGGACCCAAGTAGACAGAGGACACTAGGCATGAATAGGTGCTGCCGAGGGCCCTCTCTATAGCAGTGAGAGGAGGACAGACCCACAGTTTGCTGACAGTAGAAGGTGCTCATGTAGCCCCTTCGCTGGGGCCCTGACTCCCACTCTGACCAGCTCCCACTTAGGAGCCTCTGTGCAGGTCCCCCTGATCCCCCTGGTCCCAAGAAAGCCCGCAGACCAAAGCAGGACTCTGCATGAATCCTGGGGGCGCTGAGGGCTGGCATCCCCCATAGTAGCCCAGGGTGCAGTAGTCATCACTGTTGCCCTCTGAGTCTGGGGGGCCTGGCCTGGTGGAGGACACAGGGGCCCAGTCCTCCTGTGGCAGATAGGTGGATGGCTGTTCCCCCCACTCCAGGACCCCTGCTGGTATCACATCCTCTGAGACCAGGGCAGATGGGCCCTTCTCCTCCACCAAGCAGGAAGGTGACCAGATGAGCAAGGCCACAGCCTCTCGGCAGCTGGGTCCTGGGGCTCCCGGCTGGGTGATGGCACCCTCTGGGCTCAGCTGCAGACCCACTCGGTGGGCCCCTGTCCAGGTCTGGAATACAGTATGGTGGGAGAGGGTTAGACTAAGTGCCCTGAGATGGACCTCCAGCCTCTGCCCCTCAGCAGTTCATCCACATGGTGCAGATGGTGATAGGTACAAAGGGCAGAGGACCCCCCTTTCAGCACTGCACCCCCACCTAAGCATGTACATATCCATACAGAGACAGGAGCCCCCTGTCTTGGCCTTCTCAGAACTCCAGCCCTGGTACTCCTAGAGATGGACACAGGTGTCTGATGTGCTGCCATGTGTGTCCCCACAGGACGCTGTGGGGGATGCAGAGTCCAAACAGGGCAGTGGTGCCACCTGTACCCAGGGGCCAAGGAGGCACGTACCCTGCCAAGGCTAGCACTCTGAACTAACCACCAACCCTACACACTGTCTTCAACCAGGATTGGAGCCATTAGGACAGAAAGAAACAGGAAATACAGAAAGCTAGATCTTTGCACATTTGAAACACTGTAAATTTCAACCCATCAGCTATACAAAAAAAGTTCAAAGCACCAACAGAGACCCTGAGCCCACATCCTGGGCCTCCGGACCTCAGGACCAGCTGTGCACGCACCTGGAAATTCCCATGGTGCACCGCATAGAGAGGCTGGAAGAACGCAGCTGGAGAGGGCACATGTTGCTGGAGGGCCCTCTTCATTCTGTGTCAGGAGAGGACGGTCAGCCCTGGAGCCAGATGACCCTACAAAACCACCCCCTCACTCTTAACTCTGTCCTGCCTCTGCCTTCTGGCTGTGTCCAGAGAGAGGTCACTTGTAGGTGACCTCCGTGGACCTGGTCTGTACTGGGCATGTATCTTCACACTGAGATCACAATGGTACCCTGGGAATACAGTGACCACCTCAGCCTCTATCACAGACAGTTCCCAGCTGCCTGCCCTACCTGGTCTGAGACTCCCACCCAATACATCCTAGTCCAACTACCACCTCCCATCTCTCACCCTAGAGCCCTCCTCCCTTCCACTTCCCCTGCCAGTTCAGGCAGGATCACCTCCCTCTGGATACCCATGCCCACCTCCATGAAGGCCCCCTTGTCCCCTGTACACCAACCATCCCTCTAGAAGCATAAAGAGACCCTTCTTCCAGCACTTTCTATGCTCCAAGGAAAGCCCTAGCCACATTTCTGTCCAGCTGTCCTGCCTCCTCTTGCCTCTGCATGCTGGGTTCTGACCTACCACCTGGTACTTTTGACCTGACTAGGCCTCCCCTGTGCCCCTATAATGTGACACCCTGTATCTTGCTCTCTGTGCCCACCCCCACCCCAGCCCAGGGCCTGAGTGAGACACACCAAGTGTCCAAAAATGTTTTCATAGAAGAGAAAGAAAACTGCCAAGCCAAAATGGGAAACCAGGCATGTGATGGGGAACTTTGAGTGCCCCTCATCACTGGGGTCCCTCATCAAAGTCCTGGCTGCTGCCAGTCACCTCTTCCTCTGGTAACCAGGGAGCCCCGCTGGGCTCAGTGCCATCAAAGACCAGAGATTGGACGGGAGAAACAAAGGAACATCCAAGGCTTGCAAGTTTGGCCCCCTGTCCCCACCACCACACTCAGCTCACATACCTGGGTGAGAGCTTGAACAGAAGGTAGGTCAGGCCCGTCAGCAGAAGAAAGAGTGGCACAACCACTAGTGTGTTGTCTGGCCATCCCCAGGGTGGAGTCCGGGGGTCTGTGAGCAATGGGGCCAGGGCTGTGAGCAGCCGCGGCGTGGGGGCCTAGGGGGCAGGGTTGGGGCCACTGGAAAGTCTGTTTCCTGCCTCGGTTTCCCCACCTGCAATTTGGGTGTCAAGGTCGGAACTTCCCAGTACCTTGTGTGCAGGCATGGGTCCAGTCACCCTACGTAAAAGGTGGTATCCAACGCCCAGAGCAAAGGACACAGTCCACACATAGCTACGTTCACTTCCTATGGGAGCTAGCGGGTCTCGGGAGTCTCTGCAGTTTGGGGGTGAGGGTGAAGACCTCAGGGAGGGGTTCCAGAGTAAGGGGAGCAGGCAGGGGAGCTGCCTCACCTGTTCTTGGGGGAGCACGGAAGTACACGGATGAGCTCCACTCACTCCAGGGGCCCTCGTAGTGCTCCTCCTCAGCTGTGCCCTCTTCCTGGGCCATCTGTACACGCAGCCTGGCCTCATAGGTGGAGCCAGGGTCCAGCTCCACAGCTTCCAGGGTGAGCCGGGTCACCCCGACAATGTGGTCCTTGTGCTGGGCCCACTGTGGGGTTGGGACAGATAGAAATCGCTGGAAGGACTAGAGGTGACCAGTTGGGGTCAGTCCTTAAGGGTGTACAGGGACATGCACACAGACACTAAGGTACACCTGTGCATACCAACCCCACTGTCATCGAGCCAACCTTGACTCAGAAGAGACCTGTATAGGGTTTCCAAGACTGTCAGCTCTCCCCTGACCCTGACCCTGACCCTGACCCTAACCCTAACTCTGACTCAGAAGGAGCTTGTTGGGTTTCCAAGACTGTCAGCTGTCTCCTGTGGAGCTGTTCCTGGGTGTGAAGAGCCCAACACCTACACATCACGCCTATACACACACAAGCACACACGCATATCCATGCAGGACACTCCCCTGGTCACACGTGCAGGCACACATCCCTGGTCCTCATACCAGATCCCCCCATGCTCCATGCTAATATCTCCCAGTGTGGGTGGGCTGTCTGCCAGGGGAAGCAGGCCAGCCTTACCTCCCAGGTCTCTTCCTGTCTCTTGAAGGCCAGCTCATAAGCAAAGAGCCCACCCATGGGCTCCAGGGCTGGGTTGATGCTCCACGTCAGCACACAGTAGTCAGAACTGACGTTGCTCTGCAGGTCAAATGGGGGGTCCAGCTTGACTGGAACCGAGGGAGGCACATGAGGCTGCAGCACCGGCCCTTCCCAGGTCTAGTGCTGGGCCTCACTTGACAGAATGGGGGGGGGGGGGTCACGGGCTGAAGCCATTCCCCTCACCGTGTTTCCGGGGCAGATACTGGGCCTCCAGCAGGCTGACCTGCTCCTGCCCAGCACCATGGCAGTGCAGTGTGATGGTGAAGCTGTCACTAGGAACCAGGACCTCCTCGGGAGGCAGCTCCACAGAGCAGGCACTAGCTCGGAAGACACACCTGTGTTTGCTGCCTGGGGCGTGGTGGCTACAAAGGGAAGACACATCTGTTCACAGCAGTATTGTGGAGACCAACCCCAACCCCTGCTCCCACCCACGTGTGCCTGCCCTTCCCCTCACCTGGTGAGGAGGAGAAAGGGGTCAGTGTCCTGAACCAGTGCCAGGGCTGCCCAGTAGCAGTCAATCCGGAGGATGTTGTTGTTAAGGCAGGTAACAGCGCCAAGCCCAGGCCCTGGGACAGTGACCGAGAGGCTGTGGCAGGAAGGGTCCTAGGATAATTCACTGAGGGCAAGGATGGGGACCCTCACACTGAGCATGTCCTGGGGGGCAAGGTCGGCGGGACTGAATCCAGGCAGATCCCGGGGCCAGGCCCCACAGACAATGCACCCACACACAGTCTTGAAAGATCACAGACCCACCCACCCAAGCAACTGGTCCTCACCTGGGGGACAGGCTCCCCAGCAGACGCAGGTACAGATACAGGTACAGACCAGGAGCCAGGTGCCCACTTCCTGCATTAGGGCTTCACCCTGCAAGGTCCAGCCTGCAAGACATCCCACCCATGAGGTGCTCCCTTTAAAGATTGCTCCCCGTGAGGTCCTCCCCATGAGGGGTGCTACTGAGAGATGCTTTCTGTGGGGAGCTCATCATTAAGGGAACTCCTCTGAGGTCTTCCCTGAGAAGTACTCCCCATGGAGGATGCTCCCTGCAGAGTCCTCTTCACAAAGTGCTCCCTATGAACTCCTTTCTGTGAGCATGCTCTCCCATCCGATGTTTCCCTTGGGGCGTTCAGAGGGCTTACGCCTGAGGCAGGTGGGACCACCATTGCAATTTCATCTATTAAACTCCCATTTTCAAGTCACCTGACCTGCCCAGACTCATGGCTGCCACACTCCTGGAAAGGAGTCCTATCTCCGTGTCTTCTGAGAAGGCTCCTGACTGTGCCCACGTCCCACCCCGCAGGGGAGGCAGGCGGATCATTGTGGATCACAACGGTGAGTACCAGGAGCTTATGGGTAATGTATCTCCTCAATTCTCCTAACAGTCATGTGAGGTAGAGGACTGTGAGAGAGAGACCCACACCCCCTCCTGTCTGTCTCTCCCCTGAGTTCTGCACAGGAGGGTAGAGGGTGACACGGCAGGGGGTTCATGAAAGAAATTGTCCTTCTAAACTGGCCCTGCCCTGGGGTATCCCAGCAAGAAGAGCACCCCAGGCAAGCCCCAGGAACCAGGCTGGGTATCAGGAAGTTCATGGGTGCTAGGGAGGCACCCTATCAACCCCTTTGCAGCTCCAGATGGCGCACTGATAAACCCAAAGCAGGAAGGCAGCCCGTCTGGTTATGCAAGTCCGATGCATGATAAGGAGGCACAAAAGGAGCGCTGTGCAACAGACCACAGCACGCAGGTCTCAGGGAGCCCGCTCGGAGCCTGCATGGAGCCATGTGCACTTAGGAAGTATACGCACCCTCACCAAACACCAACACCCCTCAGAAGGCCCCTGTCCTCAGGGCCTGCACCACCCCCTCACAAAATCCCTAGCCTGAGAGCCTGAACTCTCAGAGTGTGCACCCCCTCAGAGACACACATCCTCAGGAATACCCTACCAGGCAGCAAACACACCAGTGCCCACTACCAACACCCACATACCTGGGTAGGCTGCCCACATGCCCTTGGGGCCAACTCCCAATAACAGGGATGAGAAGGAAGACCTCTACTGTCCCTCAGCTGTGCATGAAAGCCGACGCAAGTAGGAGGAAGATACAGGCATCCCCTCCCCCTGAGACCTGCCCCGGGCTCCAGGTGGAGAGAACCTGTGGCTGCCAAGGTTGGACATCCACCAGCTACCTTAGGAGCAGGATGGTTCCAAAATCTGGCCCTGTGCCCACACAAGAGTGTAAGACCTACCTGGGGGCTGCCTGTGCCCACCACTGTCTATGTAACCCTCCAACAGACAAGGAGACTGAGGCCAGGCAGGGCTGAGGATGTGCCAGACACCTTTCCCCATGGCTGCTGGCCTGTGTTTCTCCTCAAAGGTGCTACAAATGCTGCATAAACAAAGGGCAGTTCTCTAGGGTGAAGCTGACCCCAGCCTCCCTCCTCAGACACCCCCACCCTTGACCACAGTCACATGATGGCAGTGGCAGGAGAAGCAGTGTGTGCCTCTCAGACCAACTACCCCCAGGGCACCTCCTGTGTGGTCCTCCTCCCAGCCCCAACTGTCACTTGGGTTCCTTCTCAGAGACAGTGTCCCCCATAGTCTTGGAGCCATCAAGACCAACCCCAGGACCAATCTCAGACCTGCAACTGAGGCCGCCCACAGGTCCTTCATGCCGCGTGTAAGGGGTTTCCTCACAGAGGAAAGGTCGGGCTGCAGTTCAACACAGACTGCCCTCACCCAAGACCATCAGGCACCGAAAGGGACCAAGGGTCGGAGGACACAGACTGCCTCGTAAAAAAAAAAGTCCTGTGCAGAGAATCCGTCAGGCCCAGGAAACTGAAGGGGGGCTCTGACCACAGAGCCCATTCCTGCTCCTGCACCCCCACCTCACTGCAGCATCCTAAAGCGCCCCCTCCTCAGGCTAGCAAGCAGAGGGCTTTACCTGTGGCCCAGGAAGGGTCACTTCCCTTCCTGTCAGTCATCCTAACCCAGCAGGAAGCAGTTTCTCCTATAATTACAAACTGACAAATTCAGTGTTCCCCTGTCCCGTCTGGAGAGCATGCATCAGACACCCAGGGAGGGGACCATGGCTTAGGGCTCTCTGGTCAGGGTGGCAGCATGTGTGCCCAAGCAAGGCCACCTGAGATGGCCTCAAAGTCCAGGACAATGTGCCCTAACACACTCACCTCCCTGGAGGCGCCTGTCCTGGGCCATTATGACCCCCTGGAGCTGGCAGCACACAGCACAGCTGTCCTGGTGAGCAGCAAAGGCCCTCGTCTGGCTCCAAGCAAGTGCAGCCTCGATGACGCGAGCTCGCTCAGAGGCGGACAGGACGCCCACATGGAAACCACGAGCCACACCGGGGAGCTGGGGCCATCCGGGTTGGAGGCTGTCCCCGCGGGGGAGCTGACTGCTCCCAGCAGGCACACTCTTCTAGGGTGGGGGCAGTAGTAAGCACAAAAGCAATGCAACTCACTTAAAGAAAACAAGAAATGCTGGAGTCCTCTTTCATCTCAGCAGGGCACCCTGTGAACAGTGCACATGCCCCCAGACACCTTCGCACACCTTTGAAGGTCAGCACCTGACATTCGTGGCTATATTATATTAGTGGCCATGACTGATAACCCTACTGACAGACACTAGGACTGTTGGCTATTTTAAATGAAAAGAATCTTCTGGGCAGGAATCTTTCATGACCGGAACCAGTGCAGAGAAATGCCTTAGAGTTGCACGAAAGGTTAGCAGGTTTAAAACCTGTTGAAAGCTTCCATCCACACTGCCCAGCCCACTTCAGGGTTAGAATGTCTGCAACCAACAGAACGCATTATCAGTCTTTTCAATCTTTGACAATTTCATAGGTAAGGGCGTGTCAATGACATTTTAACTTTCACTTCCTTGATTATTAGAGAAGACAAGAAACCCCCAGAAATGCAATGACTTAAAATTCCAACCGGAATGGAAGGATTCTTCACATCAAGGAACAACCTTGGTTCTTCAGTGTAACGGGTTGGTTGTTGTTGTTGTTGTTAAGTGCCGTCGAGTCGGTTCCGACCCATAGCGACCCTGTACAGGGTTTCCGAGGGTGTAAATCCTTACGGGAGTAGAAAGCCTCATCGTTCTCCCGCGGAGCAGCTGGTAGTTTCCAACCGCTGACCTTAAGGTTCGCAGCCCGATTCGTAACCACTACGCTAGTAGGGACAAGACATTGACCTTGGCTATCGAAATGGGAGGAGGGCCCTACAAAGGCATTAAGTTCCAGAGTGTGCTGAATGCAGAACGAGGGGGGTACAGTAGAATCCCCACTGAATACTTTTTCTCTTTCCCAGATGCTCTGGTGAAAGGGGATGGGGGAATGACGGTGACAGGATTTTATGTCTCCATTGTGATTAACTTTTAGGAGGATTAATTGCAATTGTTCAACTGTAATTGTAGAAGATGTGTAACTAAAATAAGGGAGTAGGTAATCTTTCATTTCAGAAACAGAAGATCCCAGGATCATCAAGAAGGAAGAGTGTGACTATAACGCGAGATCCCTCCCTAGAGAAGTGGCATCGCCAAACCCATGGCTGCGTATCCGCGGGCAGGAGACTGGCTGACATGATGTGCTCTTGGGACATTTAAATGAGTATACATTCTTTTGCTTTGTGAGTGTACATCAAATACTTTTGCCTTGTTCATTTGTGAGATGTAAGATGCAGATGGAGATGGAGCACCACAGGGAGGAAGTGAATATACGGTGCTGCAGGAAGGGACTGTGATCACTGACACAAAACACAGTGTACGGTTTGCTGAATGTCGAGCTGATGATCTTGTCTACAAACCTTCACCTAGTTCACAATAAAAGGTTAAAAAAAAAAAACACCTTCGAGATATATGTACTAGCACCAATTAAAGTCACATTTCAGTAAGTGTATGTGTGTGTAAGGGGTCCTGGTGACGCAGTAGGTTAAGCATTGGGCTGCAAACCTCAAGGCCAGCAGTGCTAACCTACCAGCTGCTTCAGCAGAGAAAAAGGAGAGTGTCTGCTCACATAAAGGTACACAGTCGTGGAAACCCTAAGGGGCAGTTCTCCTCTGTCCTACATAAGGTCACTGTGAGTCGGAATCAACTCAACAGAAGTGCATACCTGTGTGTGAGTACATGTATGTGTACCCAAGCATACAGGAGTCCTGCTGTGGCGCTCTGGGTTAATGCACTGAACTGCAAGGTAAACTGTAAGGTGGGTGGTTCAAGCTCACCAGCTGCTCCTCGGAAACCCTATACAGGGTTGCTATGAATTGGAACCGACTTGACAGCACTTAACATGTGCATATATGTACACGTGAGCATACATACATGTGATTGTGTGTGGGGATGCATTGTGTATGTGCATTGACTATCATGTATGTGAGTGTGTGTGTGTGTGTGTGTGCACCCCCACCTCTTGGGTAAGGTTCCGATGCCTACCATCAGCCACAGAGAAAGTCCCAAAGGCACAAGTCCATCAAACAACTAAGCAACAACCAGGGACGCATCACATTTTTCTCCTCTTCAAATAACCAGCTTGGCCCATTCTTAGCTATCATGAGAACACGACTTTCTACTCCCACTCTTGTGCCAGGGCCACACATTGCTGCTCAGCAAAACACACGACGCACATCACGACCCCAGAAGGAGAGATATTAGTGTTGGCGAATGAGGGACGGGATCCTGGAACAAAAAGAGCCAGCGAGGGTAGCCCCAGCCTGACAGTGACCTTGAACACCTCGTGTGCAGGTCTACTCCGAGCAGCCCAGCCAAGGCTAGCCCACCCCAACAGGCTTCAGCTGCTGCCCACCGTGTAGACAGACTCTGCAGCCAGCTCCAGCAAACACAAGACCAAGTCTCTACAGAGGAACTAAGAGAAATGAAACTTTACAACATATTATCATTTGCATCTAAGATAAATACATTATTACACATATGAAGAAAACCAAACTATATGACTCATGTTTAAGATTGACAATCAATGCGGAGTGACCTCAAGACCCAGTTGCTGGAAATGGCAACGGTTTTCTCTTACTTACAGACCCAAGCCATGGTATTTTCAATAACCTCATATGCATGTGAAAGCTGGACAGTGAATGAGGAAGACCGTAGAACTGAGGCTTTTGAGTTATGGTGTTGGAGGAGAAGACTGAAAGCGCCATGGAGTGCCAGAAGACCATACGAGGGCTGTGTTACAGGTACAGCAGGTGTGCTCCTTAGAAGCCAGGATGACCAGACGTCAACTCTCATACTTCGGACATATTATCAGGAGGGACCAGTCACTAGAGAAGGGTATTGTGTTTGATAAATCGGAGGGTCAAAGAAAAAGAGGAAGACCCCCAGTGAGATGGACTGGCATAGTGACAGCAGCAATGTGCCCAGGTGTACCTACGACTGTGAGGCTGGCCCAGGACTGGGCAGTGTTGTGCAGAGGGTCACCCTGAGTGGGTACCTAACAACAACAACATGCTCACAGCTATAAAGGAAAATATGGTCGTGACAGGAGCCCGAGGGTGGAGCTGCAGGATCATGCACTGGACCCCAAGGTCAGTGGTTCAAACCTACCAGCTGCTACAGGGTCACTATGAGTTGACACTGACTGGATGGCGCCAACAGCAACATGGTCATAATAAACGGGAAATCACAATGAAGACCTCCAAAATCCACTGCCATGGAGTTAAAGCCTACTCAGAGACCCTACGAGGCAGAGAACTGCCTCCAAAGTTATCATCTTTATGGAAGCAGAAAGCCTCTTTCTCCTGTGGAGCAGCTGGTGGGTTTGAACCACCAACCTTTCTGTTAGAAGCCACCAGATTCATTAACTAAGGCACCGAACTGTAACTAAAAGGGAGGCATGTTTAAAAACCATAATAAAAGAAATAATTCACAAGCAGTGCAGAAAGCAGAATGAAGTCTCAGCCAGACTGTTACTGTTGTTACGTGCTATCAGGTCGGTTCCAACTCATAGTGACCCTTAATAGGGTTTCTGACGTTTCAGAGCTTTGTGGGTACAGAAAGCCTTATCTTTCTCTGCTGTAACTTGGACCTTGTGGTCCAGTGCAGTATCCCACAGTGCCGTACCCGGGCTCCTATGTGGTTGGTGTTGGAGTGCCGTTGAGTGGGTTCCAACTCACAGCAACTCTGTATAGCGTTTCCAAGGAGCAGCTGGTGAGCTTGAACCGCCAACCTTGCAGTTCAAATCAACTTTGCAGTCCAGCACATGAACCTATAGCACCATACCCGAACAATACACCAAGCTAAACTTAAGGGCACATCAAGTCTGTGGAAGATACTAGACTTAAAAACGCAAAAACCTGTATCAAAGAGAGATTTAAGACCCATGATTAAATAAAGCAAGACTTCATTGTTTAGAGCCTCAACTCTCGAAAAGCAACTTAATTCCAGTGCCCTGAGCAAGCAGCAGTCCATCCATCCCCAACTGGTCTAAGGTAGCCTCTTTCTTTGGAAAAAAGCTAACACAAAAATATAAAAACAATCTAATCCAAAACCAAAACAAACTGGAACAGCTACAGTAACATAAGATACATCTTCAAAGAAAGATCATCAGGAAAAACCCAAAACAAAAATGTCAGCATGACGGGCTACTACAAGAATACGCAAGCTGTTCACCAGGAAGACATCAAGGCAAGCAATCAAGGGCCTTTAGGACAAACTCCCCTGTAAGACTGAAACTCAAAGAGAATACACAAACAAGCATGTAAGCTTACTGGCGACCACATTGGTCTACTGGTGAGTGGAAGAGGGCGAAAGGCAGCAATGAAGAAATGGGCTGAGTTCAACCCCAGTCCATTGAATCTCATTGACCTGGAGATGAGAGAGAAGAGGAAGGGCTGGTTGGTCCAAAGTGTGATGAGACCTGAGGACACTTGAGCCCATGGACAAGGACTTAGCCACAGAGGGCTAGAACTGAGAGTGAAGCATCCAGCTGATATGAAGTGAGGGGAGATGCACAAGAACACCCAAACTTGCAGACAGTACCCTTTTGACCTAGTCTTGATAGTTTGATAATCAGAACTCAACTAGAGGAAGATTGGGAAAAAAATTTTTTTTTTCCTTTGGATAAAGGAAACAAGGGTAAATTGCTTGAATTTGATGAACCTGACCTATACTCAGAGTGGCAGTTACTCTAAATACCAACAGAGAGGGAAAGAGTCTTCACATCAAGTATCAATGCTATCCGCTCCACAGGGTAGATAGGGATGGGCAACTTAGACACTGGCTACCTAAAATGAGGGGACAATAAAGGCACGAAGTGACTGGCTTACAAGGTTTCAAGAGGGAGTTTTGTTTAAGAGTATGGGGAGAAAGAAAGAGTCCCCACTGAATAGCTGTCATCTTGTCTAGATGGGTCTGAAAGAAAGAGATGGGGATAAGATTCATTAAGATTCAATAGTGAATAACTGTTATCATGACCAATTGCAACTGTCACAATTGTAAAGGTAGAAGTTTTATAACAAAAACAGGGGAGTGGTTAATCTTACAGTCCAGAAACAGAGGACCCTAGGACCATCAAGAGAGGAACGCACAAATAGAATGCGGGACCTTATCCAGAGAAGCAGCAGCGCCAGAGATGGAGACAGAGATGGGGGCATCTAGAGGGGGAGCGGCTGAGGACTCTAGATTCATGGACTAAGAAGAGAAGGACTAAGAACTGGTGGCCAGGAGGCAGACTTGCAGAATGTGCCCTTTGGAGGTGTAAATTATTACATATGCCTGCGTGGGGTTTTTGTTTGTTTTTTAAAAAGCTAAAGTGGATAGAGAGAAATACTGTTAAGTGATGGCACATGGAGGGGCTAATAATCATTGTAATGGAACAAGGTGTACGATTTGTTGAATGTAAAACTGATGATGTACCCTATAAACTTTCACTCAATCCACAATAAAAACCTTAAATTTAAAAAAAAGTGAAGAAAAAAAAAGCAAAAAAACCCACCATCAAAAATTTCTAGTTAAATTTAATTTTTCAAGTATCTAAACCAAGAGCCATCAAGTCAATTCTGACTCACAGCGGCTGGTGGATTTGAACTCATGTCTTTAGCATTTCTGCAGCCAGTTTAGAACTGAGCCATCAATCTTGTGATCTGAGTTCTGTTGTAAAACACAGAGAAGGTAGTATCATGCTTTTCATTTTACTTAAATATTCAGAGTATACTTTGACAAGATAATTTTTATAATATTTTAATATTTAGAAATATGTAACGTAGTAAGTGAATACTTCTTGCTTTAACATTTGTATAAATACTGAAGAGCAAGAGAAGATGTTGTAGGAATGTCAATTGCTCAAAACATGTACAGAGAAACAATCTGGACCTTAAACAAGGCAGACATAGTTGAGAGATGTTCCTTCTCCGGCACAAAAACTCCATACACAGACATGAATGAAGTTGTTCACTCCGACTGACAAATGGACTGCATGACCACACTTCCAGTTTCTTTGCCCCAAAGGTTTGGCTTTCTGTCACATCATTAAAGGCCCACAGCCCTCAGAAAGCAGGACACAGTCCCACAGAACCAGGTGTGAATGCTGCTGGGCCAGCCTGGCCCCTAATCCCTCCAGCGATGTCCACACTGGGCATTGCAGCACTTGTAGAAGGTGGTCATTGGTTCATCAGCAGAGCGCGTCTGAAGCTGCATGAAGTAGGCACGTGGATGCTCACATTTGGGACATGGCTCTGACCAAAAGGAAAACATACAAATAACCCATCAGACTACACGCAATCAATGCTCAAGCCCTGGACAGCTGCAGAATATGGCTGAGTGCTAATCTGGCCTCCTCACACGGGGCCCAGATAGGGTTAAATCCAGGAATGGTGCTGTCAACCGGAAGGCAATTGGGGCACCTGGAATCTTGGAAACACTCCTCCCTTCTCAGGAACCCCTATTTTAGCTTGCATCTGGTTGAAGGCCAAATGGAGAGAGAACACAGGTGACTCTGGGCCCACATCTACAGGATTCCCTGCCACTTCCTAACCAGGTTACTGCCATTCCACTCCGAGCCACCTAACAACCTGTTGTGGCAGCTGACCCTCAGGCTCCCAATACATGCCCTCGTTGTTTCTCTTAGAAACTAAAAGCACTCTCACAACAACGCTGCCAACCCTGGACACACATTCCATCTTTCCAGGGCAGATGCTGCACCTGCTAGCCTAAGCCAGCAGATGCTACCCTTGAACGAATACTTCCTCTCACCACAAAGGTTAGGTTGGGAGCTCTCTCACTCAGAAACGAGTGAAATAAACACCTATCTGACTCAGATGTTAATGCTCCTGGGTATTTTTTAAAATCTACATTAAACTACAAAGACCCTGCTTTCTCCTTACACAACAATTTTTATCACTACCATCTGCCAAGTGCATCTTTAACAGGTACTGTACAACCCAATTCATTGTCACACAAACCGGAGGGCAGAAGTTCGCCAAGGCCCCACAATAGGAGGTCATGGAGAAGCTAAATGGTCCAGAGATCCATGCACAGCACCGACAGATTCTGGCATGGAGGTGCATCATGCAGCCTTGTGGGTATTTCAACAGAAAAGACTCCCGTCCCCTCACCTGCAGTGGAGTCAACGTTCTCCCAAGCAGCAGCTCCTCCAAGCACGTCATCCACTTCTTTCAATTTGGGATACTTCCGATTTGTTACCTAATAAACAGAAAGCCATCAGCTGCTCCAAGAAAGTGACTGGTACAAACCCTGGCCCTACAAACTGCAACAGCCCAAAAGTGTCTTCCCAAATTCCTTCCCTTCAATAAGCAATAGAGAAATAAATAAAAAACAAGTTCTTGCTCTCCCAGGCCTTGCCCCAACATTCTATTGCAGTTTCAAGAATCTATAATCAGGTTGCCCACAGGAAGAGGGAGATCGTTTGGGGCATCGCAGAGCTCTAGGAGGCTCAGGGGAAGCAAAATGGGTTAGGTGTGGTTCTCCTCCTTGCCAATCTCTCCAGAGTACTTCCTAATCCAAGATGTGAGAAACAAATCAAATGTAACCCAAAGAGCACCACTTCCTTGGGAAGCCCAGACACCCCTGACCCAGGTGGAGAGAGCTTTCAAAGGTTATACTTGGCATCTTTTCCCAAGTTTTAGCAGACATCCCTAAAATTTCAAGGTTACTTAAGGGTTCACTCCTCTCATAGTTTCAGACTCCAATCCTACAACAGCTGAACAATGGAGTGGAACACCAGGAATGAGACAGCAGAAATTTACTATACTTTTGAAAGGTGTTGTTAGGCACCTTCAGGTCGGTACTGACTGACCAATAGCGACCCGATGCACAACAGAATGAAACACTGGCCGGTCCTGGGCCAACCTCACAATCGTAGGTATACCTGAGCCCACTGATGCTGCCACTTGGCCAATCCATCTCACTAAGGGGTCTTCCTCTTTTTCTCTGACCCTCCACTTTACCAAACATGTTCTCCTTCTCCAGAAACTGGTCCCTCCTACAATATGTCCCAAGTATGGGAGATGAACTCTCAACATCCTGGCTTCTAAGGAGCACTCTGGCTGTACTTATTCCGACACGGATCTGTTTGTTCTTTTGACAGCCCATGGCACTTTCAATATTCTCCTCCAACACCATATAACTCAAATGCATCAATTCTTCTATGGTCTTCCTTATTTACTGTCCAAGTTTCAATCACATATGAGGTTACTGAAAATACCCTGGCTTGGGTCAGGAGCACCCTAGTCCTCAAACTGACATCTTTGCTCTTCAACACTCTAAAAAGATCTTGTGCAGCAGATTTGCCTAATGCAGTACACGTCCTCTGATTTCTTGAGTGCTGCTTCCATGAGTGCTGATGGTTGATCTGGGTATAATGAAGTCTTTGACAACTTCAGGCTTCTCCATTTGTATGGATGTTGTTCACTGTTCCAGAGGTGAGGATTTCTTCCCCCAATCCTGATGCCACATTTTTCTTCATCTAATGCTGGGGGCTCGACGGCACTTAACAACAACAACAATGCTGGGGGCTAATGCGCCACACTGCTAAGTCGTTTGAACTGCAAGGTCGGTGGTTCAAACTCACCAGCTGCTCCTTGGAAACCCTATACAGGGTCACTCTGGGCCGAAACCGACTCGATGGCACTTCATAACAACAACAACAACAATCCAGTTTCTCAGATTATTTGTTCAGCATAGAGACTGAATTAGAAAAAGAATACAACCCTGGCACACGTCTTTCCTTGTTTTAAACCATTTGGCATTCCCATGTTCTGTTTGAACAACTGCCTCTTGATCTATGTACAGGTTCCTTATGAGTTCAATTAAGTGTTCCAGAACACCCATACTTCACAAAGTTGTCCCTAGCTTGTCATGCTCCACATAATCAAAAGCCTTTGCTTAGTGAATAAAGCACAGGCAAACATCTTTCTGGTATTCTCTGCTTTTGAAACACTTTTGAGAGTACAGTATTCAAAATGCATCACCAATGAAAAATACTAAAATACTGTCCAGTTACAACACACACACAAAATACACAAACCCACCAAAGCTCGGAGTTGGTTCTGCCTCATGGTATTGTTGCTAAGTGCATCAGTTCCGGCTCATGGAAACCATGTATAGGGTTTCAGAAACTGTCAATCTTGACAGGAGTAGACCACCTCATCTTTCTGCAGTGGAACAGCTGGTGGGTTTACACGGTGGACCTAACCCACAGTGCTACCGGGCTCCTACCCAAAACCAAACCCACTGCCCGGAGTTGATTCCAACAAACTACCCCACAGGGTTTTCCTGTAGTTTTCTGGAAGCGCACCGTCCCTTCTTTCCTACTCTGTATCACATGATTAGCGGCTGAGCGCTTAACCTTGGCACCACCAGGGCCTATGTAATATGTACAGTAGGCAGCTTTCCTTTACTAAATGCCCATTCTATTGCAAACTCCAACACTGACATTCAAACTAGACCATGTAGTTAAGGGCCGCCAAGTTGGTTCCAACTTACAGCGTCCCCAAAGAGGGTTTCTGAGCAGCAGCTGGTGAGTTTGAACCGGCGACCTTTCAGTCTGCTGAGTAGTGTTTATCCTATAGCGCCGAACTTTAAAAAAAAAAAAAATTCCCCACCCTCTAGCTTGTGTTTTAGGATTAGTAATCAAAACACATGAACCAATGATTAGACAGGATGTCAAAAAGTAGTCTCATGGGAAACCTAAAATGGGGAAGGGGCTGCAACTTTAAGTTGTTGTTAGGTGCCATTGAGTCGGTACAGCAGAACGAAACACTGCCTGGTCCTGGGCCAACCTCACTACTGTTGCCATGCTTGAGTCCATTGATGCTGCCACTTGGCCAGTCCATATCCTTGGGGGTCTTCCTCTTTTTCTTCGACCTTCCACCTTACCAAATTTGATATCCTTCTCCAGCGACTGGTCCCTCCTGACAATATGTCCGATGTATGAGAGATGAAATTTGGCCATCTTGGCCTCCAAGGAGCACTCTGGCTGCACTTCTTCCAAAATGGATCTATTGGTTCTTTTGGCAGTCCACGGCACTTTTAGTATTCTCCTCCAACACCAAAACTCAAAAGCATCAATTCTTCTACAGTTTTCCTTATTCACTGTCCATCTTTCACATCCATACGAGATTATTGAAAATACCATGGCTTGGGTCAGGCGCACCTTAGTCCTCAGGCTGAAGTGTTTGCTCTTCAACACTTTAAAAAGGTCTTGTGCAGCACGTTTGCCCAATGCAATACCCCATCTGATTTCTTGACTGCTGCTTCCATGAGTGTTGACAGTTGATCCAAGAAGAATGAAGTCCTTGACAACTTCAATCTTTTCTTCATTGATATGAATGTTGTTGATTGGTCCAGTGGTGAGGATTTTTGTTGTCTTTACATTGAGATGTAATCCATAATGAAGGCTGTGCTCTTTGATCTTCATCAGTAAATGTTTTAAGTCCTTTTCACTTTCAGCAAGCAAGGTTGTAACATCTGCATATCGCAGGTTGTGAATGAGTCTTTCTCCAATCCTGATACCAAGTTTTTCTTCACAGAACCCAGCTTCTTGGATTATTTGCTCAGCATGCAGGTTGAATAAGTATGGTGAAAGAATACAACTCTGTCTCACACCTTTCTTAATTTTAAACCATTCAGTGTTTCCATGTTCTGTTCGAACAACTGCCTCTTGGTCCAAGTACAGATTCCTCATGAGCACAAGTATTCAGGAATACTCCTACTTCACAATGTTGTCCATAGCTTGTCATGATCCACACAATTGAAAGCCTTTGCGTAGTCAATAAAGCACAGGTAAACATCTTTCTGATATTCTCTGCTTTCTGTCAAGATCCATCAGACATCAGCAATGATATCCCTCGTTCCAGGGCCTCTTCTGAATCCAGCTTGAACCTCTGGAAGTTCTGTTTCCGTATTACCTTTAGTAAAACTTGACTCGCATGTGATATCAAACAGATTGTCCGATGATTTCCGCATCCCGTTGGGTCACCTCTCTTTGGAATGGGCACAAATAAGTAGCCCAATCATTTAAAGATGCGACCACCTAGTCACGTGGTTCTAGCCCCAGCCACCCCCCACCAGTGCAAAGGCCCTGCGGCTGCAACGCTCGGAGTCTGATAGTGACACTCCAGCGGCCCATGCTGTTTAAGCGACAGAGAGGAGACGAGATCCGAGAAACAAGCAGAGCGGGTCAGGGCTCAAACCTGGGGGCCCTGTGGGAGCTTTTCCTCCGAGCCGGCCCGAAACACCAGGATCAGACTCGGCACTGCGGGAATAAGTGGAGATAGGGTGGCGGCGAGACCCACCTTGCGGGTGATATTGTGTACGTAGGGGCAGGTATTGCAGGCGAAGCGGTGGCAGCGTTGCCCCTCTTCCACTATCAGCCCGTTCCCGCAGCTTGGGCAAAACAGCAACATGGCGACCAAGCCCCCCGGTTCCGGCAGCCCCTGGGGACGCCCTACTCCCAACAACCTCCGCGGCCTCAGATCTTTCGCACGCCCACCTCACTTTGACCCAGACATGGCACCGCCCCTCAGCCGGCCAATAGGCACGTTGGCCTCGCGTTCCCATCGGGCACTGCGGCAAGCTGTCTCGCACTCCTCATTGGTCCTAGCGACCGCTCCGTTATCAGATGCACCAATGGCCGCCCGGGTTCGCCCGGTGTCCCGCAGTCTACGCAAGTACGCGTTTGGCTCTGCTTCCACCGACTTGCCGAGCTGATCCTGGAAGCGGACGCGGACCTGGAGGTGGCAGACACTGAGGCACGGCCCGAAGCGCCGGAAGACGATGAGGATGACGACGAGACCCTGCCGCACTCGGAGGTGGTGGACGTGTTCCAGGAAGGTCTCGCCATGGTGGTGCAGGACCCCCTGCTCTGTGATCTGCCGATCCAGGTGCGCGTCCGGGATGCACTCCCGAGATTTGTGGGCGCTGCGGCCCCTAGGTTGGTCCTCGGGGAGCGCCTTCTCCTGCCTGTGCCCCTCTTTCCTGAATCCTGGATCCGTGTCAGATCTGAACGTGTGGGTAAACCGAGAGGTCGGGGTGCCGAGAACCTGGCAGCTTTAATATGTAGGGTCTTTCCCCTCAGCTTGCTTTGTTCCTTGGGGAGATGAGATGAACACCCCACTCTTTGCAGGTAACTTTGGAGGAAGTGAACTCCCAGATAGCACTGGAATACGGCCAGGCCATGACAGTCCGCGTATGCAAGATGGACGGAGAGGTCATGCGTAAGTGGCGCTTTGTCAGAACGGCAGGGCCACCAAGGCTGGCCGGGGGAGCTCACTGACAGGGACTGGACCCCTTTGTGTCCTTGATTGCAGCTGTGGTGGTTGTGCAGAATGCTACGGTTCTGGAGCTAAAGAAGGCCATCCAGAGATACGTGCAGCTCCGGCAGGAGCGTGAGGGAGGCATTCAGCACATCAGCTGGTGAGTGGAGCCGAGACTGGGGGGGGTGGGGAGGTTACGTGCCCCGCTAACAGATAGGCTGATGCAAGTCTTGCGTAGACCCCTCCCTTCTTTCTAATTGCTCTTTGTCCGCCTGCCTTTACTGCTGAGAGGCCACTGGGGGTCCCTGTTAGACATTTCCAGTGTGACCTGAAGTGGTCATCCTGGATCCAAGGGTTGAGCTTGGTCCTCCCCCACTTTCCTACTTGGCACCACTGTGTGACCCCTACGAAGCCCTGTGGGATCAGCACTTTCTTGCAGGTCCTACGTGTGGAGGACGTACCACCTGACCTTCACGGGAGAGAAACTCACTGAGGACAAGAAGAAGCTCCGAGAGTAAGTCCTAACCATACCTGGAGGGTCTGGTCCTAGTCCCTGGATCTACTCCTTGCCTTCTGCCAGAGATCTTAGGCCTCCTGACTAAAAGGAGCAGCCAGAGGAGCTGTCTCCAGAATCCCTGACTGACTTTCACGGGCATGAAACATCAGAGGCCTTGTGGGCTACCCAAGGCAGGTGGAGGAATGTCAGAGTGTGTGGAAGGAAAGGTACCGCTGAGCAGGATGTGCTGCTTCCTCGCTGTCTCCTCTTGGCACCACATCCTGAGCTCCTCTTCAGCTTTTGTCACAGAGATCAGGTGTCAGGTGGGAATAATCTCTCCATATCTCAGCACACCCTTTCATTCTCTTTCAGTTATGGAATCCGCAATCGGGATGAAGTTTCCTTCATCAAAAAGCTGAGGCAAAAGTGAGCCTCTCTGCAAGGACAGAGGGTTGTGGGCCAAGATCTTCCCCACAGGACACTGCCCTCAGCAGCTGCCTCCACCTTCCTCCCTTGTCTGGAACCATCAGTGTGAACTCAGTCCTCATTTTCTCCCATTTACTTGGCCTTAGCCAGACCCCTTCCCAAGGCCTAACCCTGACGACACATGGATCCCACAGAGCTATGGGCGTTGACCTATATACAAAATAAATGTGTTTGGTTTTTAGTTTGAAAGTCAAAAGGCCACTGGCCCCTCTGGGAGGTGGGCCATGAGGTTAGGGTGGCCACGCCTGAGTCTGGGTAACACACTGCTCTGGGAACAGGCACAGTGGCGTGGCCATCTTTGTCTCCTTTTGTAGACCAGAACACAGTGGCTCCACTCCAGCCCCTGGGGAAAGGAGGGAGTGTGGGGCAGCAATGGCAAGCTTGGATGGCTGCCCAGCAGGGAAAAGGGTAAGTGCCTCACTGGGGCCCTCCACCATCACCTACCTGTCACCATAGGAGGGGTGCCAGGCATCCAACCACCTAAGGGACCTCCCACCAGCTAGAACCAGGAAGAAGGAAGCAGCCAGGATCCAGGTAATGGCAGCTAAAACGCTCCCGTTCGTTTACTGGCCACGTAAGGTGGGTGTCAGGAGATTATTTAAAAGGTGATTATGGGCACGAGTGTAACAAACATGGCGGCATGAGAGGTCCAACCAAAGTGAACAAGGCACCCAAGTCTGTGTTCAGAAACATGAGGGTCCCACCAGCTAGCGAGGGCAGGGGCAGCCTTGGCACAGGGCTCCGGGCCTGCTGGAGCCGGGCCGCAGCCCCCAGCCCTCAGGCCTGGCTCAGTGCAGCTGCGCATCCAGCTCATACTTCTCACAGAACTTGTCGGTGAAGGGGATGCAGGTGAGGAATTCACACCACTCGCATCGCACAGGGTAGAAGTAGAAGAGGACCACCAGGCCTGCGAGCAGCCCTAGAAACACAGCCTGGAAGACGATGATCTGACAGCGCTTGCGGTACAGGTCGAACTTGCCAAAGCTGATGTAGGGCAGGAAGGCAAAGGAGAGGAAGAGGCCGCTGACAAAGCCAGAAATGTGGGCAAAGTTGTCAATCCAGGGTAGCAGCCCAAAGGCGAAGAGGAAGAGCACCACGGCCAGCAGCTTGAAGAAGGCCCTCCAGGGCCGCGCCAGGACCTGCCAACTCTGGAACAATTCCACAAAGAGGCAGGCCAGGATACCAAACTGCGAACCAGCTGGGCCCACCTGTGGGGCAGAGCACACTGAGCAGATTCCAGCCTCACCTCCTGGCGTCCCACTTCCCTGGCCAAGGGAGGCTTCCAGAGGGGCCCAATCCAGTGCTAGACAGGGATACGTGTGCACTAGTGCCGGAGGGGAAGCTCACCTCCGCCCGGTACGGCAGGAAGATGGCACTGGCCAAGTTGCCAGTGATGCCACTCAGCAGGTAGATGATAGAGATACGATGCCAGCCAGCCAGCTTCTCCAGGTCCCTCAAGATAGTCATCTGGAAGCAGACAGACACCAGGCAGTGCAGAATCCTGAGTGGGGTGGGAGGGATAGACTCAGCAGGGACAGTAGGTGTCTGCTGTCCCAGTCTGACCACTCCCCAGCAGATCCCACCCAACCCAGTTCATCACTTGCCCTGCGTGCAAGAAGAGTGACAACCACAGGCGGTAGAACTGGTCAGGCACTTCAGGGTTGAGGAAGGGCAACAGCCCACACACATCGTCCATGCAGTGCACCTGTATAGAGGGGCCATCAGCACCCGTGCCTGGGGTAGCCGCTCACCCTCTGCCCCCAAGACCTACCTGAGAGCAGAGCGTGGCCTCCTCGTGAAAGTAGCCTCTCATGAAGTCACAGTACTCCCGGGAAGTGATCTCACACCTGGAAAGTCAGGCTGGGGGTGGGTGGGTGCCCCATTGTGGGGGCTGAGGCCGGAGGGGCAGAGGTATGTACCCTAGATAATTCCAGGCTCCCCTGTTAGATTCCTTAAGAATTTTGTGAAGAAGGTATAGCCCCTGGCCAAGACTGAGCCCAGGGACCAACTGCACACATGTGCCTCTGCCTGCCTACATACAAATCTGTCCTACATATACATGCACATGTACGCGTATAAACCCATCCCATGTGTACACATAGGTAAATAAATGTTCTATGGATGTGTGGAAGTGATTAGTTTTGGTTTATACTTTGGTGCTTGAGAAACCTTGATCAAATGTCCATGGAGCACACATACACACCAAGCCCATGCATGCACACATGCATCCATCCTGCACACAGCCACGTTCACACACATGCACCCCTTCTGCGGGTACGGGTACTCACCCTCCATGCACACACACTTCCTGCTATCTGTACGTGCACACATACACATGTATCCTTCCTACAGGCCCCCATACATGCACGCACCTGCCCTTGGTGCCGATGCAGCAGGGACGTCCTGTGATAACACAGTCCATGTGGGGGTGGTTGGTGTGGTTCCCGGCACTGTTTTTGGTGCAGATCTGGGTCACAGATGGGAATGAACTGGAGCTAGTAGTAAGGACCTCCTCCTCCAACCCTGGGCCCCACACCACATTGGAGGGTTAGGTTCATAGGATAGGAACAGTTCTCCCTGGTCTTGAAGCAGGCTGCTATACCCCAAACCTCAGCTGACCCACCTCTGTAGTTGGAACGATGCCAGCTGACCTCCATGTCTCTACCACTCTCTCAGACGTGCTCAGAGGTCAACACTGGAGCAGGTCATAGCACTGGGGGCTTCAGTGGTATCCCTAGATCCCTACCTTAGGACCCACACTCACCGGCCACTTGGTGATGTCGTCAGGCCACTCATGAGGGTCCTCTGAGGAAGGCTCATCACATACCCTGCACAAGTCCAGCACTTGGTCAGACCCGCTTCAGCCCCTCACGCCAGCCCGCGCCACAGCCCTCCCCTACCATGAGTAAGGGAGTAGCTGAAGGGACTGACCTGGGGTCCTGGTGGCAGACAGAACCAAACTGCCTCTTGTGGCCTGCAAGGTCTGGGACACTGGGGTGGACAGGCCACTTAACCCAAACTGCCAGAGTGGACTGTGAAAGACATAGGCTCAGCCCCAAGTCCTTGGTGAGGGGGCTCAGAGAGCAAGAGTCAAAAGAAACAGCTCAGATCCTGAGGTGGGGTGGGACGAGCCTGGCAACCTCTGACCCCACAACTCAATCTCTAGGATTTTACGCTCTGGAAATTTCAGGAGGAGATTTTGTTCAAACAGCATAATTTGTATTAGATTAAAATTAAAAAAAAAAAAAAAAAAAAAAAAACGGTGTCCAAAATCAGGGAACCGGTATAACTGTATCCTCTCGTAGTAAAAACTGGAGTGGAACTTTTTTTCCAATTAACTAAGGCGCAGGCACGCAAAAGGGATCCATACTGAAAGACTGCGCCCAAACCAGAAGACACACATTAACGTAGGGTGCAGTACTGGAGGGGCAGTTTGAGGGTAAAAAGAACGAATGCGTGAGGGCCTGTGCAGAGTAGACGCAGGCGTCATATAGACGCAGACACACAGTACACACCGAGCATTCCTCCTCCGAGGTCTGCACGCAGCCCGAGCGGTCGTTGCGCACGCAGCAGGCTGAGTGCCTCTCGCGCTCACGGGCCGCGCGGATGAAGCTGTGCACCTGCTGATCCTGGCGCATGCATGGCGAGAATTTGGCACCCAGGTGGATGAGGGCCTCCTATGGACAAGAGAATGGAACGTAGAAATTGTGGTCAGCAGAGCTCTGCCCAGCCCAGCGCCCTCACCCCTGGCCTGGTCGGCGGCCCTCACCGAGCTGGGGCCGATCCAGAAGTTCTCTTGTTGCACGTACTTGACGTTCTCATAAACCCCACGGTTCCGAAGCACCTAGGTGGCAGGCACACATAAGGAGGGACCCACTGCACCCTCTCCTCCCCGGAACCGTAAGGGGGGAGGACACAGCCCGGGACCACACATCAGCCTGGGGAGATGCGCCGAGCTCACCGAGTCCACCGTCTCGTGCTGCGAGAAGCCTACCGGAGCGATGCCATAGATGCAGACGGCCAGGATGGTCACCAGCGAGTGCACGAAGGTTAGCCAGTAAGTGAAGAAGGGCCTGTGGGGGGCAGGGGAGTGTCAGCGAGCCCTGCCCACCATGCCCCATCTACCCCTGGCCACAGCCCTGCCTGCCCGCCCGCCCACCTGTGGTCGTCCATGTCCTCTATCTGCCTCTTGACATAGCTGTCGATGCGCTTGCGGTAGGTGCGGTTGGTGAGCCGGCCCACCATACCCAGCCCATACGGCCGCTTCTCCCGGGCGAACAGCTTGCGCACTGGTACTGCAATCCGCTGGCCCCGCCGCGGCCCTGCAGCGCTCACCACTTCCTGCCGCAACCGCACCTTGGGCTGCAGGGCTGCCAGGCCGCCCTCCTTCTGCTTGCGCCAGCCACGTTCCAGAGGCCTAGGGAACACCTAGATTAGCTCCCGCCCAGACCCCCACCTGTGGCAGTCCCTCTCTGGCAAGATCTGGGCACATATCTGTCTGTCTGTCTGACCTGTCCCTTCCTAGCAGTGAAGCAGTAGCTGTGTCCCTCCCAGGCCGCCAGGGAGGAGGGAATGCCATCCCACTGCGGCTTTGGTCCTATCGAGCCCTGAGATGGGGCTTCTCTCCCACAGGTGCAACCAAGAGTTGGATGCACCAAGCCAGGGGTCCCCAGCCATGGTGGTCCACCCCTCCCCAGGTACTAAGGTCGTGAACACAGCTTCATGATGGCTAAGGGCCTGCAAACTCACAGCATCAGATGACTGCGTTCCAGCTCACTGCGCTCCAGTGCCCCACCCGTAAGGTCCGCCTGCTCTGGGGCTTTCTCCCAGTCCTTGAGCGCTGCCTCCGACGGGGACTCGAATACCTCATCTGGGTATGTGGATAGCTCCTCGTGGAGGACTCCTTCCTGAGCAAACATGCAAGGTCAGGGGCATGGAGCTGCA